AGTGCCAAAATTCAATTTGAACACTTTCCTCGCAGGCATCCCGGCCGGATTGCGAATTCCAGCCAGGGGCGTGGGCGTGGTCGAGGAGCGTAAACAGCAATCAATCATGGATATGCAGCAATGCAGCAGCGAGTGTTAAATCAATGACGACGCTGACGGACAGCCGGAAAGACGGGCAACCGGAAAGACGAACATGCAACGCACGGGCCAAAAAGCCAGAGGGCAACGTGTCACATGGAGGGAGATATGAAAATATGGAATAAGGATCAGCAAGGCATAAAATTGGTAGTTTGCATTCGGATTTAAAGCTTTTAAAGGTGGTGAGATTTTGAGTTAATAAATATGATTATTTAGAAAAGGCTTGTCTAAAAAAATATTACATTTTTATCTTTAAAAACGCATAGAAGCAAGAGAAACATTTTATTTGAAATAGCTACTGATGCAACTGAAACATAATTAAATCGTAAATGAACTCCCAGTTAAAAAACAACATCCTTAATAAAGCCTTTAATCATATTATATGTACTCTTTGTCATGCAACTCGAATTGTCATTTGTTGTTGCACAATCAGGGTTGAAAGTGCCATCGACCACCCTCTTGGCCATATCAGTGCATGGCCAGAACGGATGCCAACGTTATCATTGATGCTGCTCTCAGCTTGCTATGCGATTGTCAATTGTCGAGCTGATTGAGTGAAAGGCAAATGCTCGACAGTGCATCGGGAGGTGGCTGAGTCGGCTGGGTGGCTTGGTGGCTAGGTGGCTGGGAAGTGTTTGGATCCACACTTTTGCCATGATAAACTGCACTGACTCACTTCATGAATGAGTGACTGACTGACTGACATACAGAAAGCTGTCCCCTCACCAACATGACAGACCCACTGACTGACTGACTGAATCGACCCATTGTGAGTCTCCCATGTGACTTGTTTTGCTTGGTTGCATTCGTTGCAAATTGTTAGATAAATGGCAAAGTCGATCCAGATTGGCAATGCATTGCAGCCTTTCTTTGAGCGATTTCAGCTGTCTCCTGGGGATTTCTCCCCCCATTCGATTGAAATGCAACATTAATCTTCATTAAGCTGTTTGCCAGCTCTCTCCCGGGGATTAGTTAAGTTGTATGGCACAACATGCAGACCCAGATCCAACTCCCCAACCGCCAGGATATTCAGATGTGGGCGGGTCAAACTCAATTTACCGTATTAAGCAATTCGAGCGGAACAAACAACCGGAAACAACAACAACAATACAAACAATACAAACCACTCTTCAAAAGCCGCAAAAGTTAACAGAATGCAGCAAAAGTTACAAAATGCTGTAAATTGCACGAAATTGATATGTAAAACAAAAAAAAAGGATCCTAAAAATCTGCAAAAAGTGTGTGAAGTACGACGGAGAGGACGAGAATCCTGGGTCTCGTCTGGGCACTTCGGATTCAATGACCGTTATGGAAAACTAAGCCCGAAATGTGTTTGATGTGGTTTTCTAAGAGTGTGACAGAGTGTGCAGTGTGGAACTTTCCCAAGGCACTGTGGTACTAATTTTTCTCATACATATATTGTTAATGTAATCATTATTGATTAAACAAATAAGTTTTTTAAGCAATTGAAGAAACAAAAGCTTTTAGTTTTAAGTTTTATATTTATTTATATTTTTAATAAAAATAAAACAAACAGAAAAGTTAGTCTTTACCTTACACACTGTATCGTAGCGCTGACAGTGTCGTGGGCCACATGGCGTATGCGCAATTCAATGCCATGTAATGCCTGCCATCGCTTTAACTGACCTCCTCCCGGACTATTCCGCCCACTGTTATCGCTGCCATAACCTCTTTCCCTTAGCCCCTTTCTCTCCACTTTAAAGGCATCTCTGCCTCGCATTCCCAAGGCGCCGTCAGTTTGCAAATTTTCCGACTCTCCGGGGGCCCTGTGAATGGTTGTCCATGTCCGTGGCTGGGACTCTGATGTAGCATGCGGGACTCGAAGGGCCAACAAAGCGCATCAATTGCAACTTTTGTGCGGCGCTTGTGTCGCTGACTTAGGGGCGACACCGCTGGAGCGGCTACACGACGCAGGGTAGGCGTGTTTTGTTGCATTTCCAGCGCATAAATATTGCACAGCGCATAAAAATCACACTTAATTGCACATTTTGTTACTTTGTCGCCATCGCTGGTCGCAGATTTTGCAGCCTGCTGCCGTTTGGCGGTTAAAACCCCAATGGAACTGTGTCCTTGACTGCGCCCCATAGCTTTCTCATCCTAAGGATTGTATTTTCAATCCTGTATTTTTCTATTCTTGCTGTAGATCTGTTAAGCAAAAAAATTCCTAAGAAAAGATATAGTTATGTGGGCCTTCTTTTCCCTCCCATGCAGTTTCCACATTTTGAACCAACATCCAAACATACAAAAAAAAAAATGGGTAAAAAAGATTTTAACGTAGATTGTTAGAAAATGGATCTACACATCGTTTAAGGTATTCAGAAATCTGATGATTTTTGGCAAAGATATAGCCCTGGATGATTGAAAATAGTATAATTTTCCTCTCTGGTTGAATCTATGGCGCATATGTACATGGGTGTATATTTGGAATGGGTGCCATTATGTAAAAAGAACAATAATTCAAGGATTAAATGCACGTTTTTCTTCTTAATTTAAATAAAATAATTTAAATTTTGTCTTATTTTTACACAAAAGTCCTTTTATCAACCCACCAAATTTTTTTTCCTTTGGACATTCAGTCTGTATCACATTTAGTTCATTCAGTCATGGCATGAAATGTTGCCACATAATTTATTTGATGATACAAATGCTGAGGTTTTCCTCCTGCGGCTTCAATTACATTAGATAGTCACGAAACAACGTTTGCAGTTCGCATTTAATTCAATTAAATTTGAGTGCATGCGAAAAAAAACAATTAATTGTGGCTATTCATTGGGGATTATTTTTTGTTTTGATTTCTGAAACGCTAAAGAGCAAATAAATTGAAAAATTTAAGCAAAGACTTTTTTTGTGCTAGCCAAGCGAAAAAATAAGCGCCTGGAATAATATTTCGTAGCATACTTTTGTGGGCCCACAAGAAGCACATTAAAGTGGCAAGGTGAGCGTGGGGCGGAGTCATTACGTGGACTTAGTTGGGTCAGCTGCCCCGGTAGGTGGGCTTTGGAGGTTGTAAGTATATATACTTTTTTCGAGAGGGTAGTATATTTTCCGTGCAGTTTGCACTTTCAGCAAACGTCCATGCTGCCGCACTTGATGTGCATTTTTGCATCTCCATCCCGATAATAACTTGCTTTACCGTAAACCGAGCTCAGCTGAGCTCAGCGCATCTCAGCTCATAAAAAACACACACACAAACAGAGACAGAAACAGAGACAGGAACAGAGACAGACAGCTGCCAGGCTAAGCAACATTTTTGTTTATGATTGTGCAGAATTTTATGGGAGAGATGTGCTGGTGTCAGAGGGTGTGGCAGTGGCTGGGGCTAAGAGGGAAGGGGCACGTGCCTGGAATAGCCCCCGGCAAGAGGCAGCACTCTTCGAGTGATTTAAATGCCCGCCTGCAGAGCCAGACCCGGCCAGGCTATTGGCATGCATAAAAATCAGAAATTATGGCTCTTTAACAATGTGAAATATAGTAGGACATGCAAGTTCCTCCCTCCTCTTTCTGGCAGACCCATTATCATCGTCATCATCACAGCCTTATTTGCATGGAAATTATATGCATTCTGCACTGGCTCCCAGTCCAGATTCGGTGCTATTTATCTTGGCATTCTCCGCCTTCCTAACTGAACGGTTCATTATTTGGACATTGGTCATTGTCTGTGGCAACCAAAGAGCACCGATTTGTCAATCATTTTGTCACAGTTTGTCACTACGTTTCGTGCCACACAGCTTTTCATTAATAACTTGGCTGACATTCTCAACAAGTTAACAAACTTCTGCAAGAATTTCGCCCAAGTACTTGTCAATCAATTGTCAACAAAAAAATATGAAAAAAGGAGGAAACAAAAAATTCAACATGAAAATATGCAAAAGTAACGAGGGAAAATTTTTATGTTGCACAACTTTGTGTGACAGTTGGCCGAGAAGACTGCTGGAGTGGCTGGAGATTTTCGCGCCGGATATTCTTCTGGGCACTTGTTGGTGGTGCATCGTGGTGTGGGCGAAGGCTAGAGCGTGGGCTTGGCAGGCAGCAAGTGGAAGAAGGTGAAACACTTGCCGCAAAAAGTAATTTCGTGCCAGCGTCGACTTTCATCAAGCAATTTTCAAACATATTTCGGCTGTTACCCGGATCCTGCATCCCATCACCTCCGGTTACCCCTTAATCTCCGCCACTCCGAACAGTTCGTTGCTTTTGGCCTTTGGCCCGGCTTTTCCATTTCCTGTTTTTCGGTGCAACCTTCAGTATCCTGCCACAGACTTGACTAGATGAAGTTTTGCGGCACAAACTGGTCTTCTGCCTCCCGTTTCTATTCCTGCATATCGCCTCTTAACTTTTTGTTTGCGGCCTGGGCTTGAAAATTTGCAAATTCTCCTGCAAAATGCTTGCGGCCGCTTCTAGGCATGTTCCAAGTTATTTTCTTCAAATTGCTCTGTAATTAACACACCATATTTGCCTTTCAAGGGCTTTACGGTAAAATGTACTAAACTAAAACCAAGAATTTACATTCTTAAATTTTTATATTCGATCTAGATTGAGGTTGTGGGTTTTTTCAGGTTGGAAACAATTACAAAGTTTAAATGCCTTCAAACTAGAAGATTCCAATTTATGTTTTAACTACTCTGAAGAAATTATCTTACAAAACCTTTAAAGTAAATATAAATAAAGAACTTGCCCCAAGAACATAAAGTCTTGCCTTTGTGCTACTCTTTAGTAAGCCCCACAATCGATCTCCCATTAAAATAACACTTATTTGATCTTTCGATGCGTTTCTGGCCCTCATTCTGGCTCTCAATATGTATTTCCTTTGTTTGGGAAGGACCTTTAAGTAGGGACGTACTCACTTTCATTCGCGGACAGGGCCACAGGACGACGGTCTTATTGTAATCGTGGGCCAGTTGCTCAGCCAGTGGATGACAGTGACCCAGGCTGCGGGCTTCGTGCCATCGTCCTGCCCCCTGACCTTCCGACGTAGTTTCCTGGCCCGCTAACACTGGTTTCGCATCAGCATCTTGCTGACGATGATGATGTTGTCGCTCACGCTTTTGGCTCAAATGTTGCTGATGCGGCTGGTTGGACGGGTCAATGTCCACATTCGCATAACGATTTGGGCCCTTGTTCACGTCCCGATTCTCGTCCACGTCCACGGTGTCTACATTAGTGCCCACATTTAAAGTCTTTACAACGCTCGTGTATTTGGGCAGCTCCAGTAATTTAATGAAGCCACTTAAATCTGTGCACCATCGCCAAATCCAACGCCGTCATCGTAGTCGTCGTCGACATCGTCATCATTGGGTTGTGGAGCAAAAAGAAAGAGAAACATTTTATGTGGCATATAAAAAAAACTTCTGCATATTTAAGCTGGCTCTGTGGGTGAGCTCTTGGGCGAGTGTGCATCGGTGCGTGTGTGTGTGTTTAAGCGGTGCACTATGGGGAATTTGGCCGATTTCATGGTATTAATTAATAACTTTTAAACTAAGTAAAATTTTTCGAAACGGTTTTTTTATTATTGTTATAGACACCGATAGGAATGTTTTTAGAAAAATGGGCGTGGCTCCGCCCCTTCCCTGACGAAATATTATTTATTAACTATTAAACTAAACAAGATTTTTCGAAACGGTTTTTTGCATTAGGCTTATGAAGATCGTTGGAAATATTTTTTGGTAAAATGGGCGTGGTTCCGCCCTCCCATTTGGATAAATTAATTAATAACTTTTTAAACAAATAAGATTTGTCAAAACGGTTTTTTTTTATTATTCGCCCTCCCAGGACTAGAAACAATTTTTTTTTATTTCAAATAGAAAAATTGATAAAGTGAAAACCAAATAATACACTAATAAGTTTATCAAATATTTTCATTTTCAAAGTCTTCGTCAGACATAAAATAAAAATCGTCAATTTCATCTCCAATTTTCTCAATTTGATCCTGGCCTTCAAAATTGCACAATAAAAGGCTTAAAACTTCTTAAGGAAGTTCCATACTTTTATGCTTCCGAATTCGCTTCATAGGGTTTGTTGAAGAAATAACAGGATCAGAAGTATCTAAGGCTCTGTTGAAAACATCCATGAAATTATTAACACGACTATGCTTCCGTGGGTTATGCAGTCTATCTTTTTTATAACTTTTTTTGCGTGCTTCCGACGCTTCTTCTCCGAAACAGCCAACGGGAAGTATTGTATTTTCCATAATTTGCCTTGAGTGGACAATAATTTTGTGAACAGTTGCCGTCATTGGCAACCATGGATAACAATCCACAATTTGTTCCCCAGTTTTAAAACAAAATTGTTCAAATTTCTCCAAATCAATTGGCAGTTGACAAGACAAGAAAATGAATATAACTCTTAAGTTCCGAATTTGCAGGCAATTGGCAAACTTCTTCTCAAAAAATTTTTTTTTTCTCTTGCATATCTTCCAGTTACCATTTATATTTAGGCAAAATAAGCTATTCTTTTTCAAATTGTTTTTGTGTTTTACAACATCCATGTTTCTACTTATTTTGCTCGAAATAAAATCAAAAATTGATCTTTCTTGGTTTGAGTTCTTCGTCTTCGTACGCCATACTTCAAAAAGCTCCGCGTTCGAAAACTCGAAGACACCTGACAAAAAACGAAATTACGCAGATTGTGCGCATTTTTGCACATTGAGACAAATTTCCTTTTATTCATAATTAATGGCTCTACGACATATATTAAACTTACACTGTTGCAACGATATGTTTTTTTTGTAAGTCTACGTAAAGTTAATTTTTTTTTTCAAAAAATTACCTTTTAAACCTGTTTTAAAATTGACTAAATATTATTAAGACAGGCACATAGCAAAATATTAGTACACAAAACATTTAATACAAGCCAGTATGATTGTTTTCCATCATAAATTGAATTAATAACTTGTTTAACTTTTAAGTATCGCACTTTCAAAGTAGCTAACCAAAAACTGCCTCTTCTCAAACACGTGCCTTTGGGCTGCAACAGCTGACTTTAACAGTGCAAAGCTTTAAAAGTGCACTGTTTATTAATATTTTTGGTAGGGAGTCATATGGAGCCATATGTTTTTAATATGTTTACATAAAAAAAACCCAAATATTTAAACTTTGATAAAATGACTAAATACCATGAAATCGGGCAAATTCCCCATAGTGCGGTGTAGTAACTGTTACTGCTGATGAAGGCAGCCCACTATAGGAAATTTGACCACTTTTTCTGGCCAAAAATAATATCTCAAGAACGAAACAAAATATTCAAGTTCTGATTTTTGATTTGAGTTCACATGGTCAATAGATTTAAGATTTAAAAAAAATGTGGGCGTGGCACCGCCCACTTTTTAAGAAACACATTCTAACTCAAAAAATATGCAAGATATTTAGATTTTGATTTTTGATTTGAGTTTATATGGTCAAAAGAACTCAGAAATGAAAAAATTGTGGGCGTGGCACCGCCCCCTATTTAAAAATAACATGCTAACTGTTCGGTTTTGCACTAGTCTCACAGCTAACAGATTCACATTCAAGGTGTTGAGGTTGCCTCCTTAAATTATGAATTTCTTCGAAAGTGCAAAAAAGGTCATATTCATATTTCACTCATTTGAAGAAAATTAAACAATCTACAACATGGACTAAATTACATTGTCCGACTCGGACAGACTTGGTTTAAATCTCTTTTTAAAAATGTGATTTATTTCTAAAAATTTCTTTTGCTAGACTACTTACATTTTCACTTTATTAAAAAGACAACACAAGTTTTTTGGACACTTCACATATACGAACACATAATACAAACCACATTGAAAAGTATTCATTTCAAAACTTTTGACTTTGTCCATAAAATTTTTAGTATTCGCGTTTTTAAAATCGCACCAAAAAATCGTAAATTCTAAGCTCATATAAATGTTAACATCAACAGCTGTTTTTAACAGCTGATTTTATCGCAGTGGCGCCATCTATGGAAATTTCTGGTACGCAACATTAAAAATTAATCTATTTTGAATGATATGCAGTTAAAATTATTTATATTCTTTAACTTTCAAAAAATGGTTTTTGGCCAGAAAAAGTGGTCAAATTTCCTATAGTGCAGCCGTGCTCATAGTGGGAATCTGTCTGCAGCAGCCACATAACCGCTGAATGCTTCTTGCCTCCAAATGCCGCACAGTGGAACAAGTTAAAAAGTTTAAATTGAGTTTAAATATCAGAATTAAATATAAAAAAAAATGAATAAAATTAACAAAATTAGCTTCAAATTTTTGCGTCATCTATTGTGTATTTGTATTAATTCAAATACAAAATGTATTTATAAAAAAATACTTTCGATAGTCTCTAAAGAGTGTCCAGCTCAAGTTCTAGGCCCCAAAGTTGTTTAAATAAAGAAAATTAAAGTAAATAAAATATTATTGTATAATTTCAAAAATATATAATAAATATATATAATGTAATATATAAATATATAATAATTTTCCAAAATATTTTCCATAAAAATGCGGAAATAAGCTCAAAAAGGTTTAAAAAAATACTTTCAATAGTCTCTAAAGAGTCTCCAGCCCAAGTTCTAGGCTCCAACGTTTTTTAAATGTAAAAAAATTAAAAAAAAATAGTTTAAATATTTCAAAAATATTTTCTATAAAAATAAAGAAACAAGCTCAAAAAGGTTAAAAAAAAAATACTTCCGACAGTCTCTCAAGAGTGTCTAGCTCAAGTTCTAGGCCCCAAAGTTTTTAAAATGTAAAAAATGCTAAAAATTAAACATAAAAATTTTCAAAAATATTTTACTTCAAAATGTGGAAACAAACTCAATGTTACAAAAAAAATTGAGAAATAAAAAAACTTTTGCGCCGTGATAGACGATTGCATTAAAACAATACAAAAAAGAGAAACAAAATTTGTATTAAAAAAAGAAAATAAGTGATACATTTTCAAATGGTTTCTCTGAACTGTACCTTAGATTTTAGTATATAAAAGTAAAAAAAATAGAGATGTTTGTGTTTAAAAATAATAAAAGGAAAATAAAAATTATTGAATAATTTACAGAAAACAGCGCAAAAAAGCTTTTAAGATTCCACCTTTACAAAATTATTTTACAGGAAAAATAAAAACAATAAAACCCAGTCTCCATTTTCTAGCTACTTCAAAAACAAATGTATGAGCAAAAAAAAAAATGGATAAATAAGGAAAATGTGATTTCAGAGCAAGAAGAATTTTATTATAAAAATAAATACAAATTATAATAAATAGTACATTTGAAGATGTGCTTTTCCAACTCGATCATGATTATTCCACAGGAATAATAAAAATAAATAAAAATAATAATAAGTTCATTTCGAACCAAACACATTCCATTACAATAATCCAACGTTTCCAAATATAAATTAAAAAAGTATAAAAATTAAATAAAAACCAAAATAGAATAGCTAGACCTTTTCCTCTAATAAAAATAAATACAAATTATAATAAATAGTACATTTGAAGATGTGCTTTTCCAGCTTGACCAAGATCATTCCACAGGAATAATAAAAATAAATAAAAATAATAAAAAGTAAATTTCAACCCAAACACATTAATTTAAAATTTTCCAACGTTTCAAAATAAAAATTAAAAAATTTTAAAAATTAAATAAAAACCAAAATAAAATAGCTTGACCTCTTCCTCTAATAAAAGTAAATACAAATTATAATAAATAGTACATTTGAAGATGTGCTTTTCCAGCTCGACCAAGATCAATCCACAGGAATAATAAAAATAAATAAAAATAATAATAAAAAGTAAATTTCAACCCAAAAACTTTAATTTAAAATTTTGCAACATTTTAAAATAAAAATTAAAAGAATTGAAAAAATAAAAACAAAAAATAAAAACCAGAATAAAATAGCTAGACCTCTTCCAATGAAAGGACGGAAAGGAATGAACCAAAATCGAGGTGTTAGGAGCTACCTTGGCAGAAACTGAGCCAAAAAAAGCAAGGCCTACTTTTGAAAGAAGTTATTGGGAAAATGAAGACACTGTGCAACACTCCTTTTCGTGTCGAGTGGCTCTTTTTTGAGGAGCTCGGCATGGCCTGCTAACGGGCTGTCATTGCAAGTAACTGGCCAAGTAACTGAGCAAGTATCCGACAATTGACCGAGTTATGAATGTCTGTGATTCACGCAGAGCCAGGAATAGAGGTCCTTGACTCTGGCTGGGATACCCGCAATGACAAGGTACGAGATCCAAAAACCATAAAAAATAATTCTCAGAGAGGAATCCCTGCTAATCCGGCGACTTAACAACTTTATTTTGGGGAATAATGGCTGCTGTAAATTACAAACTTTGGCGGCGCTAGCTTCAACTTATGTTCGGGAATATTTATGCCGAATTTGGTGTGCTGCTGTGGTGATTAGCTTCGTAAATGAATTTCGCCATAGATCGCGATAAGCCGAAAGTTTATTCAGCCAAGGAGCAAAGGAGAGTCGAGTCTCGAATGTGCAGGACTCTTGTCCGTGGCACCGACACTGGCACTTTCATTTGGGAAAGTTACCCACTCTTCTCGGACTGTCAAAGTTGTTCCCCGTCTGGCTATTTGTTTTATTCTTTCAATTTGCTGTCTTTGCGCTCAGTTCTTTTCAGTTAGTTTGAAAGTAAACACGGGCATCTACACATGGCTAGGGCCAACTTTGGCTCACTGAGTCGCTCACTTATTTGGCGCCAAAGTTTTTGCCGATTGCAACAATTTAGCTGCTGTTGCTGCTCGGGTTGTCAGTGGGGAAAGTTTAAATTTGATATCTTTAATTTAGAGCGCTGCCTCGAAGGTGTCATAAATAAGAGCGTGGAGCGTAGAGCCAACTAAAAGGTGAAACTTGCTCACTGACACTAGCTCCCCTCACCCACCCAGAAGCCATCTAAATTGATTTAAGTGCCTGGACAAAGAAATTCAATTTGCAAAACCAAACTAACGTAACGTTTCCATTCCGTAGTCCGTACAAATAAATTCCATTTGCCGTAATTTAACCTGGCTGTCTTTCTGTGTTGCAGGTTTGGTTTTTATGTTTTGCAAAATATTGAAATGGATTTTAGTTGCATATGGCCGAATGGCCTTATTTCGTGTCCAGTAACAATTTATGGGCCGAGAGGAGTTTATTTGCTGACCACAGTTGGCAGTGCTACAAAAGGTCTATATATTATATCCTACCTAAGGATGAAATGAAAAGGGTCCTGGTTGGGTAATACAGTGTTATACAAGAGACTCCACAAAGAGCTTTAGGGATTGATTGGATGCTGCTTTGACCGGGCTTACATATGTTGCTGTTGTGTAAGCTAGCCAGGACATGTCAGGACATCGCCGGCCAAGAGTGCGGGCGTTGCAATTGAATTGAAAGCATTGCGCATTCGCCATGTTGTCCAATTATTTCTGCAATTACTCGATAGAAGCGGTGACAGCACCTAATCCCATTATAATACTGTTAATATTTATCACCTGGCTTGTCACTTTCTATGTCCTTAATGTGTTAAACCCTAAAGATGTCTCACTTGCAGGGTAAGTCTGCTGTCCAAGGACTGTGGAAATATCCCCTAATTAAAGAAGGCAACATAATTAAAGTTGTAACTTTTGCAGGCCCAATCTCACTCACAGACAGGCAGTGCCCCAAAATTAGTTCAAGTGGCAGATACTTCGTTGAGAAGAAAACTACAGAAACTGGGAGACGCAATCTTGTTATAATTCATGCAAATTGAGTTTTGGTCCCCTAAAGATGCCAAAAAGTCAAATCTAGTTCGTCGGCTGTGCAGTCTTCCCCCATCTAGATAGCAGCAACTTTAATTCTTGCGCTTGATTTGTATTTTCTCACTCAATTAGCAAAGTTCCCCCATAACTTCCACTCTGTTAGCTGCCTGCAAATATTTGGCCCAAACAAACAACCGGCCAATTCATCTTCATAAACTGCCTCCTTCTCTGACTCATGTGGAATTTTTCGGCAGTTTTATTATACCCTTGCAGAGGGTATTATAATTTTGGTCAAAAGTGTGCAACGCAGTGAAGGAGACATCTCCGACCCTATAAAGTATATATATTCTTGATCAGGATCACCTCCTGAGTTGATATGAGCATGTCCGTCTGTCCGTCTGTCCGTCTGTCTGTCCGTCTGTCTGTCCGTCTGTCTGTCCGTCTGTCTGTTTCTACGCAAACTAGTCTCTCAGTTTTAAAGCTATCGTCTTGAAACTTTGCACACACCCTTCTTTCCTTTGCACGCAGTATATAAGTCGGAACGGCCCGGATCGGTCGACTATATCCTATAGCTGCCATATAACTGATTAATCGGAAATGGTATAACTTTGGTGTTTTTAAAGTTAGAGAGTTCAAATTTGAAGAGCTTTTGGTGAGAGCTTTTTTTGGCAACATAATACGACATGCCAAATTTCATAAGGATCGGCCGACTATATCCTATAGCTGCCATATAACTGAACGATCGGAAATGACCCAACTTTCGTGTTTTTGATGATAGAAAGCTGGCACTTGGTACACATTCTATTTTTGGTCAGTTAATCCGATCTACCAAATTTCATAACGATCGGTTGACTATATCTTATAGCTGACATATAACTGTACGATCGGAAAGGGTTTTTGGTAGAAATACCAACTTTGGTATTTTTGAAGATAGAAGCTTGAGACTTTTTTTAGATTTTGTATTGTAATAAATTGGATTATATATTCATATTCCCATAAGGATCGGCCAACTATATCCGATTTTTGCGATATATATCCGGTTTTAGCTGCAAGGGTATATCAACTTCGGCTCCGCCCGAAGTTAGCTTTGCTTTCTTGTTTTTGTTTTTTTTTTGTCGGCCAAGAACGAAGGCAACTCGAGTATCCGACACACACAGAAACACACACATCCGACACAAATCATCGATAAAGCATGATGTCTAAATGCATGTTGGCAGGGATTTATCCTGGCAAGGAGTGGGGGTCCTTGGCTAAACAAACGAGGCAAACAAGACGGCCTCCCTGTTTGATTTTTGGTCCTTTCGGGCCTACTCACCGGCATCATAGAGGAAATCCACGCTGGCATTTGGCATATGGACTTGAAAATAGTCGAGAAAATTCTTAAAGCCCTGTTGCACATGCATCATATCAATGTGCAGCGAGGGGGGGATTAAGACGCCCACTCGTTGATTTGAGGCCTCCGGCTGTTGTTGTCGCTTCAGTTGTTGCTGTCGCCGTTGACGTAGCTGTCCCTCTTGTTGTATCTGCTGATGGTGTTGCTGCTGCTGCTGCTTTTGGCGCTGATGATGTTGCTGTTCCTCTTGTGTTGCAGTTGCGGGCTGTTGCTTTTGACGTTTCTGACGTTCAGTTTCACGCGCATTACGTGGACCTTTTGTTGTCCTTGTTGTTGTAGTTGTGGATGTTGCAGAAAGTGAATGGTTTGCCAGTGTTGTTGTTGCTGTTGTCGTTGCGGAAGTCCGCGTTGCCGCAACCGCTGTTGCTGTTGCAGCAAAATCTGTCGCTGTCTTGGGCCCAAGCGGCTCAAGGATACGCGTCCCAGAGCTGTGGTTACTTTCAGTGGAGGTGGTGCGAAAAGAGGAGGTGGTGGTGGTGGAGGGACTGGCGCTGCTAGGACCGAGGACTGAAGAGGCAGCGCCGCGTTGGGAATTGAGAAAGAAGAAGGCTGTCAACAGCAGAAATAATTTAGCAATTTGACAGATTGTTAACTTCATTTATGTTGCGTTTTGGTTTGGTTTTCTTAATGTTGCTTCAGCAGTTGTTGTGATTGCTCTTGTCGTCGATTCTTGTAGCTATTGCTGTTGCAGCTGATCTGTTGCTGTTGTTGTTACCCTTTGGCCCAGTGCCTAGCTGAGCGGGCCTTTTCAATTCTACCCCACTTCGCAGCTTACATTTTGCTGGCCCTGATGTTGCTGTTGCTGGTTGGATTGCTGTTGTTGTTATTTCCTCTATTATTGTTGGTAATGAACTTTGACGACGCTTTGTTCGAATCTGCCATAATTGTGTTTCTGTTGCCGGCAAATTGCACTTGTTTTCTGCAAAAAAAACACAGGATGGGGAATTAGAAAGTGGAATAGAAATTGCAATTCTCGTTAAAAGTTTGCAAATGAAAGATTTAGGAAAACTGTTCTACAGGTATTTTTTTGTTAAAAGACCTGGAATGTTGTGAGCAATAAATTAATAGACTTCGAGAATATCCTTTAGTGTATTTATTAAAGAAATGAAATAGTTAATACCATTTATTTATATGAACTTATTTTAAAGATACCAAGTCATTCCCAGAAATTTTACTGCTTTATGTCTCTAATCATTAGAAATATCTCATTAATTAGCCTCGTAGTATCTTATTCATCCATCCCAAACACCCAGGTTAATTTCTCAAATGACATTTTCAATCCACACACCTGTCGCCATGATTTATTTAAAGCCTTAAATATCCGAGTCGTCATCAACAGGGTCTTAAAATTTTCCATCGGCAAACGAGCGATGGAAGTTTCCGACTCCCTGACATTTTCATTAAAAAATACGCATACAAATTAATTAAATTAAAATTTCAAATTAGTTTAAAAGTTCAGCTAGCACACGAACACCCACACTTACACTTCCACATACACATGCAGTCAGACAAACACACAGATACAAAGGAGAATGGCAGACACTCACAGTCTGTCACGCACGCGCTTCCGTTGACGTTTCATCTGTTTGCTGGTGTTGGTGTTGTTTTTTCCGCTGTGTTTGTTGTTTTTGTGCGTCTTGCTGGTTGGCAGCGTTTTCATGCACGTTTAAGCATTCACCCACACACTCACACTCGCCAACGGGCACGTCCCCAACTCCACTCACACACTCAAGTGCCTTGGCCCACCCACGCAAGGTGCTGCGATAGGAAGAGGAAATGCCAGACTCTGCATAATTCAGAGCGTTCATTTTTTCCGGGCCTTCCGACCCCCTCCGGCGCTATAAAAAACGAATAGCCATAAAATTGATTGTGCCTAAATAAATATTTTGTGAGTTTACATATCATATTCCTCCATCACCATCTAGAGTTTCAGTTGGCCAGTCAGGCTCAACTCTTTGACTTTGTTTACTCGTGAGTCCTGGCAAGTGATCCACTCTCAGGATTCCACGTACCGTCTTTGATTTTTCAGTCTTTAAAGCCAACCATCTTTAAAATTCGCTTTCCCAGAATACACTTAAAACATTTGGAATAGAAACACAGCGGTATTTATATTTTTAAAGCCCTATGAGACAGCTTTATAAACTGCTATTCTACTATACAGAAATAAATTATAACACGATGTGTCGCTACTAATTTTCAATTAATAAAAACCTATATAGTTACAATTTCTCTCTGTGCATGTATCTACACAGAAACATACACTTTTTGAGGCAATTTAAAGCACAAGGTTCAGACAGGTTTTGAGTTCTATTCCTGGAGCTGGAGCTCCTCTTCCGGCTGAGCCCAATTCTTATGCTTGATTACCTGCGCAACGCAGTCGTGCGGCAATATTTCGATTCATCAACATGACAATCTAAACTTTCATTTAGATATTAAAAAATATGCTTTCGACGAAGGGCGTAAACACCTCAGGGCAGGTCGTCCTGTGCCATTGTCATCCGATTGCCCGGAAATGATTGATGCCTTTGTTTTGTTGTCATTGTCGCCAAAATAAATAATCTGCCCGCCGATGCCGTTTCCCCGGAAAATTTTGAGACAACATGGTAACGCAAATTGCCGCACAATGACAATGCCAATGATGTGGCCCGGAGGGTAATTGTCAAAAGTGTGAAGGTTAAAAATGAGGCCCCGGGCACACATGTTGGCCCTCATCCACTCAAACGTTTTACTTTAATGATGGATGGATGAGATTGGCGGGATTACTGAATATTGAATTTATTCCTAAAACGCCCGACAGAGTTGCAAACAATTACGAGGATGAAGGGAACTCGGATAAATTTAATAGGACTTTAATTACTCAAAGTTCTCGTTTGGCCTGCGGCTTCTCTAAAGTTTCCCCACCACTTGACCTTTTAACCCCCAATAATGCTGCAGGGATAAGTGGGAAATGCAAGTCGACAAAATGAAAAACCTTTCAGCCAAACGAGCTTACGCACAAAAAGTTAAAGTATTTTCTACGACAAAATTGCTTTTAATTTAATGGCGTTCTATGAGCAGAGTAATAACGCTTCAAACTTAGTGGTAGTGGTGCGTGGACAACCCCTATTTAAGGTGGTTTGAGGCCAAAGGACGTAATAAACTACGGTGACGACGCAACGGTGGCTCGGGGTTTATATAAATAAACATATTAAAAACTTTCAAGGATTCGAGTAATAATAGTGAAGTAAAGGCGGCTAGGTTGGACTACTTTAAGCGAGAATTTCTGTTGGAAGATATCCTGCTCCTTCCCATTTTTTCAGCCTCATCAGCTCCAGGCACCCTCATCTCGTCTTGGCCATGTTTACGTTTACGTTTATTTTATTTTATTTTTCTCCCTTATCCCATCGCCCTCTCAAAAAGCTTTCATTCAGTCATGGTGCCTATTTTCGTTTTGTTATTGAGTTTGTAGCGCCAGCGTCCTTTCTTAAGGGCGTTATTATTAAGGTATACACAGTATACAACACACATACTCTTATCCTTTGATAGAAGCACACACACATGCCCGGCTAGTCGGTATGTGGCGTTATTTTTGGTTGACGGCTTTTGGCGTCGATGGTGCGTATACGCAATGGCGCAGCGGCAGCGACAGTCGCCCGGCATCATCATCCTTGGAAATTTATAACCACTTGTTTTCCCGCTTATTTACATACATATTGACACGGGCCAAACGACAGTTAGTGCGGTGTGTGGCTCATAGTGTGTGTGTGTATCTGAAGCATCCCTAATACGCATACATATGCATTGGGCCGTGACTTGAGGTCGGGTCGTAGTTCAGCGGCTTCAACGCCGACATCTCCTCTTAACCTCCACTCCTCCAAACTAACAATGTTCGGTGCGAGGGAATGGCACTCAGGACAGACACACACATAGGCGTCTACCAAGGATATCTTAGCTATAAGTGTGTGTGTGTTTTATTTATCATATGCTTTGGGTTATGAACGCCTTCTGCTGACCCTACACTGGGAATTAGTATGGAGTTTAAAAAGAAATTTTTTTAACATATAAGTTAGTTTATTAGATATCTTAATTACTTTATAAGATTAACAAACGAAGGTACTTTTTAAGATGGTTTATGACTAAAATATAAACCTAATTCATTTAAAACTGTACGACACCCGGTACTTTAAAAAAATAATAAATCAGTATCCTGTATTAAGCTAAAGGTTTTATGCCCAGCTTAAACTATAATATATCTGCAAAAGTATTGCTTAATTAATAAAAAGTGTATTTCTCAAAAATATCCAAAACAGCAAACATTCATCATGGATTTTTTATGGGTATTTTTCTCTCTGCATACCACCAATATTTTTTTTTAAAGAAAAGCTCCTTAAGGCTTGGGGTAAACTTCGCTGAAAGATCTCCCATTCATGCTCTTAAATTATTTGCAGGGATTACGCGATTGTAGAAATTTTTATGATATTTCTGTACCTTTCCTTCGGCCATAAAGCATGCTTTGTGAGTTATGAAGATAACCCTTCTTACTCTTATATGCTTAGTGACAATTTTATGGCAGTGGCAGTGTTGTCAGATCTACTTGCTAATATTTTTCGCTGTAGCTCATGGGAGCTTCAACGTGATCTACCCCACACATGCTCACAAATTGGCAGGCATTTGCTTTAGGCCAGGCTAGGTCGTATAGGCCCTCTTTCCGCCCACCTTCTTTGTTTACTATTTTGGTTTTTTTGCCATTCGTTTTTGTTGCTGCTCGTTGAAGTGAATTTATATGCGCCATGGGCAGTGTTGTCAGTGAGTGTAATAACTCAATTATGTGGTTGTCGTGGAAACTGCGACGAACGCTTGGCCCTCTTCAGTGTCTTTGCTTTTAGCTCCCTGGGCTGCTTTTGTGCTGATGGTTTTATCTTTTGGGTATCTGGTCTCTAGGACCCTCTCCACCATTCAATTAGAATCATGCCTAATGTGGAATTTTTTCAATATTGTTTCGAGTCCTAATACATATTTGTTGTTATTCATCATTATTTTAAGTCCCAAAAGTATATTTTAATGTCCAACTAGCCTAAGCCCTTGAATAAAGTAGAGAACATAAATTATTTTCCCAAACCATTACTAAAATGTATGAATTTTGCCTGACTGGTATTTCAAATCGCAGAAGCACTAATTTCAATTTAAATTGCCGCGTCGCCCCGCACAGAGCGGGGTTAAGTGCGGCTAACCGAACTGTCGCTGCCGGTGGCAACGTTTGCCACCTTGATTGCGGTTGCCACAAGGTGAGCTATCTGGTCGTGCCGCTTTGAGCCTGAGCCCGGGCTGGGGTCCTCGGCTTTTTGGTTTGGGCTTCGGTGCGCACACCAAATGGAAGCACCAGTTAATGGAAAGAAAACATGGAAACGTCTTCAACATCCTTCTTTCTTGCTGGCGGTGTTTAAGTTTCTTTAAAAAAGACTACCCGTTTTGGTTGAACTTCCTTTCCAGTTAAAACAAGTTGTTTTAAAGGAACTTATTTAAGACAGAAGATCAACAATACTGCTAGTTTAAACCACTTTAATACAGAGTTTGCATATAGAGGTCTGTAATTTTTTAACCAAAACAGAAGGACATTTTTTGGAAGCCATAGGCAACTGCCGCATAAATCTTTGGAAAGTCCCAAAACTTTTAATTGTATTGTTCTGCGTTTCGTTCCGATTGCAATCTGTGGCTCGGGTTCTGGGAGTCTTGGCGCGGCAGTGCTCTGACCGAACTTACATAAGAACCTGCCCCCAGGGAAGTGGTACGTCCAACTGGCGATTCCTCTTTTAGCCACCGTATGGGCCTCGCCAGTTGGGTTCGCTTTTTGGGCTTACTCTCGGTTTTTTATCTATGTTGGCTGTTATTCATGTCTGGTTTTGGGTATCCATCTCATGGTAGTGGGGTGTATGGGGGCGA